GTCTCTCATCTCCCCCATTATAATACACTCCTTTTCAGAGACAAGCAAAAGTTCCTGGCTGCTTTAACTGGTGTACGTCCAGGTCAACTTCTTCCACCTCCGTCTCTTCTTCCAGACTTGTACCTGATCCCAACCAAAGAGAGAGGCAATGACAATAGTGTGCTCTCTGGCTCTGTTCAGAGTTAGGACCTCAATGTCGTTCAGAGAGTTCAGTCAGCCCAACCCTCCCACCTCAATCTGCTGTCCTATTTTTCTCCTTCTCTTCATCACCAGACTTCTTTTTTTCCCCAAACTTCCTAAAAGACAAGTTTCCACTTGCAGTTTCACTTCTTCATCTCCTTCTCTCTCTTCAACCCACTGTACTTTGACAAGAACTGTAAAGGCTCTGAGATTTTATCCTCTTTGCGATCTAATAACCTGCCACAGTTTCATGCATGCTAGAAGAAGACACGGGTCTTTTGGGTCAAAAGATTGTTCTACTCACAGCACAGCAGGCAGCACCAGTGTCATGTTGTCAGTTCCCTTGCCTCGCAGGTCTCTTCCATGGCTCAGGTGGATGCCGCACCTGCAGTGGAATTGTGTCACAGCTGAGGAACCCTAAGCTTAATAACTCCCCTAACCTTTTATGAAGAGCTGCAAGAAAACCTGCTCAACTTCTACCCCAGAAGGAGACACTATCTTTATTATATTGGGTGGTAAATAAAGGTACCCTCTGTTCTGGTGGGGGACATCATATCTATTTTCCAAGGCTGTTGCCAAACAAACATCCTTAAAAAGATAGATCATCTAAAAAAGCTGTTAGCGCCTCTGCTCACAACACATACAGAAATATGAGAGTCCCATGGAGAACTGTCTCCCAACACATTCCCACAGCTCTTCCTACTAATCATACAGAGATTGCTCTCTTGAAAATGATCAGTAATCTCCTAATTTCCCAATCCAACCATCTTCTAGAATCCTGAAAGGAACCTCAGAGAACAACATTTAATCATTCAATAAATATTTATTGGGCACCTTCTATGTGCCAGGCACTGTGCAAGCCAAAACAGACAAGGTCCTTGTCCTCACACAGGGAGCAACAGATATTAAGCTAGTACAGTCATGTGTCATACAATGACCTTTTGGTCAATGACAGACCGCACATATGATATATGGTATCTATCTCTATATATGTATGTGTATATATATATATATATATATGGTATAGCCTACTACGCACCTCCATTATTACTACGTACCTTCATCTTATGGAACAATAAGATTATAATGGAGCTGGAGGGGCATAGTAGGCTATACCATCTAGGTTGGTTTAAATATGCTCTATGATGTTCACACAATGACGAAATTGCCTAGCAATGCATTTCTCAGAACGTTTTCCCATGATTAAGTGACACATGACTGTATTCATATATACAAAATGTAATTATAAGCTGCAGTAAGTCATAAGAAGGGAAGGTACATGGTGGTAGGAGAACTGACATCAACAAGGGATCTTGAATTGGCCTGGGAGGTCAGAAATGTTTTTCCCGAGGATGTCCCTTTCAAGCTGAGACTTGAAGGACAAGTGAAAGATAAGATGGTTAAAAGGCAGAAGGGAATGTGCACAGGGGCTGTTGGGATCACAGTACATTTGGGAAACTAAAAGAAGGCCAAGAAGTCTACTGACCAGGAAACAAGAAGAGAGTGTTGTGAGATGAGACTGGAAAAGACAGGCACCTTAAGAATTCTAGCTTTATTCTAGAGCAATGAGAAGCTGTTTATGGGTTTTACATGAGAAGTGACATAATCTTATTTGCTTTTCGAAAGACCCTTTGGGCTAAAAAGTGGAGAATGAATGGAGGGGCCCAGATTGTATGCACTGAGACCAAATTAGATTAGTGGTGATTGGAAAGAAGTAAACCAATTAGAGAGATTTGGTGGATAAAATTGCCAGGGGTTGGTGCTGTAATGAATAGGGGGAATGAAGGCGAGGGAGACATCAAGGATGACTGCAGATGTTTGATTTGAACAATTTGTTTAGTCAAGGAAAATGAAGAGTTCATGAACTCAGTTGGACTAAATTTTGTAACTCTGAGGCATTAAGTGGACATGTCAATGTAGTAGTTGGTATCATATTTGGAATTTAGAGGGAGGTTTTGGGCTAGAGGCACATACATGAAAATAACCTGCACAGTGATGGTAACTAGAGCAACTGGTGTAGGTGATGTTGCTTAGGCTAAGAGATTATAATGAAAACATAAAAGAACCTAAAACTGAATCTTTAGGTACTCTATATTTAATAGCTAGGAAGAAGAGCAAGAATCTGCAAAGGAATTAGAAAAGCAGTGCCCAGAAAAGTAAGAATAAAACCAAAAAGATGCAATACCAAAGGAAGAAGAAATGTTCAAGGAAGAATAGTGGTCAAACTGTTGAGTATTGTTGAGAGCTCAGGAAAGATGAGGATTGAATATGGCCCTGTGATGGTTAGCTGTAGGTGTCAACTTGACTAGATTAAGGAATACCTAGAAACCTGGTAAAGCATTATTTTGGGGTGTGTTTGTGAGGGTGTTTCCAGAAGAGATCAGCATTTGAACTTGAGTGGACTAGGGGGTAAAGATCCTCCATCTATATGGGCAGGCACCATCCAATTCCACTCCGGGTCTGAAGAGAACAAAAACAGATGAAAAGGTGAATCTCTTTATCTGCTAGAGCTGGGATACACTTTTCTCTTTTGTCTGTGGACATCGGAATTCCAGGATCTTCAGCCTTTGGGTTCCAGGACTTATACCAGCAGCACCTCTGGGCTCTCAGGCTTTTGGCCTCTGACTGAGAATTACACCATCCATTTCCCTGGTTCTGAGGCTTTTGAACTTGGACTGAGCCATGCTACTGGCATCCCAGGATCTCCAGCTTGCAGATGGCCTATCGTGGGACTTTTCAAGTGTCATAATCAAGTAAGCCATTCCCCTAATAAATTACCTCTCACATATCTATATGCATAGCCCATTGGTTCTGTCTCTCTGGAGAACCCTGGCTAAGAAAGGCCTTTATTTTATTGATAAGGAAAATGCAACATTGAAAAGAGAAGTAACTTGTCCAAAGCCAAAGTAAAACTCATACTGCTGCCCATGCTAGAGTCATTTATGCGTGTTTTTTATTCTCTCCGAAAAACATAAATTCCTGTCTTCACTTGACTCAACCTTACAGCATTGTATATTGTTGACCACAATCTCTAAGTCTACTTCAAAGACGTTCTTGAATTATACCTTAGTCTCCTTCAAAATAGATGTTCTTCCTTGCTCTAACCATATTAGCTTTTAATTCCATTTTCCCATGAACTTTTTGAAGAACCCTTGTGTATATGGTACTTCATGTAGGTTTGCCCAAAACACACTTTTTAAAAATAGGGTTTTTTTTAAATGCCATTTTCTGACCTCTCCCATGAACAAAAGAATCAAAATCTTGAGGGGTGGATTATTGGATTCTGTATTTTTTAAAAGCTCCCTAGTAGGAACCTTTGGAAATCACTAGCTTCGAGTTAAGTTTGGAAACAGTAACTTCGTCTCAGACCAGAGCCGGACAGCAATACGGAGAAGCCACCCAACTCACCCACACCCTTATAAATTCTCATCTTTTAAAACAACATACAGTTATACTTCTGTTATTTCGAGATCAGATTTTCAGCAGTTTCGACTGGAAGAGGGCCAAACCTGGAAGTTAAGAAAAGGAAACATCTTTTGCAGAGAAAGAACTTCTGATAGTAAAGAGCAATGAAAATATCTCAAGATACCACTTGATATAGAGTCACTGTGCTATTCGCTGACGGGGAGAAAAGGAACCTCTCATTAGCTGGCTGTGGTTATAAACATCTGATCAATCATCACCTGGAGCCATAGAGAAAAGCAGCTGAGAAAGGAGAAAAGGGTAAAAACGTAAACAGTAAAGTAGAAAGAATAAGAAGGATCAGAGTGGATAAAGAGGCAGATGAGGAGATGTGAAGCAGTGACAGATATTAGAAAAGGTGAAGAAAACATTCCAAAGAGAAAAAAGAGAGCACCAAAGGAGGGATTCTATATACCACAGCAATCCCCTGGGACATGGCAGACATGGAGCTTGGTTACACCCGCCACCATTTTTGAAAGGACAGTTCCTGGGGTAGGCTCCGCGTCCCAAGGACTATCCCTCCTCAAGTCTTCCGGTGGAAACTGTAAAAGTTAGCAGCCCCGGCCAGCCCTTGGGCATTATTGCAGCGCCCCCAATTGCTTGAAGTTTAAGGAAATCGCGGCTGCGTTCACTGGTAAGTCTTCGTGCTGTTGTAAAAATTAAGGTAACGGGTTTAGACGAAATTTGGCTGGCGAAGAGACCAAGAAACTAACCCCCACGTGTTCAACTGAAGTAAATCTCTAAGTATTTTTGCTTGATATCGAGATCCCGGGCTCTAAATGTTTGTGATGGGAAAGATCGAAGCTCACTTCAGTTGGCTTCCTAGTCATTGGGGGAGTGTCTCTCAAAGCACCTGCCAGCAATCAGTTCTGGTGCTTTCGGGAAGGGGCTGACACGGTGCGGCTCAGGGGTGGTCTTTTTAAAATGTGGATTAAGAATTGTGTGAGTGGCCCTCGGAAGGTCACTCAACTTCACATTTCCTGAGTGTGGCCGCGGTGGCCGCTACGACGAGCCAGGCGCAGCCGGGCCTTGGGAGTCAGCCGGGGACCGGGAGGGCGGTGGGCGCTCGGCCGCCGCGCGCTGGCGGCTCCGCAGGGACTCGTCCTCCCGAAACCAGCTGCGGTGCGGCGGACGCGGGAGCGGGCGGGGGTCCGGGCCGGCCGGG